TGATAATATTTCCAATACATTAGGCCAGAATGTTGGATGCTTCCCAGTGAAGAACTATCCAGCCTTTAGTCCCTGACAAGAATATCCTCAAACCTTGCACACAACCTTTGAACTGCTCCATAATCTTTAATCATCTCACCTTCTGTATGTGTGAATAGCAGCTGTGCCTGAAAATATAACACATACATGTACATACATACAGTGTGGCTGGCAGGTAATGTACATGATCATGTATACTGTACTGCTGGTGTCTTTGGAGTGAGAAATATCGGTGAAGTACTAAATTTTTGGTTATTGGCGGGTTTTAATTTGGCAAATTTGTGGCTACATGTACGTGCCCTTCAATTACTGTATCTAAACATGTGAATGCATGTACAATGTACATGCACATGTACAGTACACAATGAACACCAAATTGAAGGACTCTGGAAATATACCTGTTTTTAAGTGATTCTTCAAAATTGATGGTCTTTCATTGAAAAAAGTTATGAATACACCCCACCATACTTGTCTTCATTTTTAAACACTATCCAAAGCATACCAAAAACCCTGTACTTTAATTTTTGACTTGAGCCCTTCAATTACTGTATCTAAACATGCATGTAAATGTTCATGCATGTACACTATGTGCACATAATAATGTAATTGTAAATATACATGTACAAGTATTAACCAGATCCAGTAGCTAGCACATGAGCTCCCCAGGTCTGATTCATTAGTGTGTTAGTGATAGATACCACAGTTAATAAATGCTGTGTGGTTAATGATCTTGACAAATGACAACTGCCACCTAACATGATTGGATAGTTGAGACTGGATCCCTTCCTCATTGATATCCTCCTCCTCCTCCTCCTCTAGATTAACAGGAACTGTTAATGATCTCTCCTTATGTAACGAGAGTGTAGCATTGATGGCACCTGTCAACAACAATCACAACAACAATTATTATTAATAATACATACCATTTACATAAATAACACTATACTGGTATAAAATTTTAGGGTGTAAATTTATAAGCTGATTCAAGTTTGTATTTTTCATGTATGCACATGCATTAGGTACATGTACTGTGTATCCTATAAAAGGTATTGTTTCCACAGGTAAGAAGCTACCAATAAAATCTATGTAATTAAATACCTCACAACTTATGCCCATATGATTAAAAACAAGTCAACAACAATAACACTACAAGAACATAAAAAAATTAAAAAAAAAGATTGA